AAAGTTCTCATTGACTTCTTCGTCGTCATCAACGTACTTGTCATAAATTGGTGGGGAATTCCAATCGACTGAGCTAGGCTCTTCAACCAATTGATTTTCAAACGGATGGAAAATCTCATCCATGATCTTCATACGCAACGGAAAACCTGTTCTGATGCCACTTGATGTAGAAAAGACCCAGGGGAGTCTCGGGGAGACGGGGACCTGGGAATCACTCAACCAGGGGCAAGGGAATCACTCATGTCGCTAATTGTGGAATCGCTCAACACAACCAAGTCTCACACTTGATTTTAAGGAGGAGATAACTCACACTCTTCAAATGCACAAGGCAAATAAACTATTTTTCATTAATCATGTCTACCCAAAGGCTTCTAATACATCAATATTTAAAGGAACTAAAAATAAAGAAACATAAATAGACTACAACTTCCTAAGAAACTCTCTAAAACTGACTTAACAAGTTCATGTGTCATTAAAAATAAATTACAATGCCTTTATTATTTGAATTCCAATGCCAACGAGAAGTTTTCAATTTGTTTTTTTTTTTAAGCCTTGGCTCTCACATCATTCTCCCATTCTCGAAGAAAACTCTTCTTTGAGTTTCATTCGATCTTCCTCAATCTTTGGGATGAACTTGCAGATTCTTCCACAACAACCACAATAATAAAATGACATTCACAGTGATCAAAGTGTTCCAAGCCAAAAAATATTCATGGAAACACCATTTCCCCATTCTTTCAAATGTTGTAGGCCCTAGTTCCTTCTTCTCGTTAGAATGTTTTCTGTGATAGATCTATAAATCCAACCTAGCTCTAAACCCCATTCAGTTTTGTCTTCATAACCACAACTTACCACATGAGTGGCCTCTTTAAGGATCACTGCTGGGCTTGAGGAATGACGGACACCGCCTTGTTCCATCCATGTTGAAGTCACAAAAATTGTAAACTGTCTGAAATTCTTTTCAAAATTCATTTGGTAAATCAGTAGCACTTTGCCATCATCCATTTCTTGTAGGTTTGAAGCATCTCCATTTGCATCAAGCTTGGAGTACTTTGAAAGATTCTTGTAGCATCCAAAAGACGAATAGTAGTCACAGCTTACCATCTGACGCATGGAGGCTTGCTGCCATCCTCATTAACTTCATTCACAAAATGATATTGACTTCGTCTTCATCAACGTACTCATCGTAAATTGGTGGTAAATTCCAATCGACAAAACTAATTTCTTCGATAGTGTGCTCTTCAAACAGATTGTAAATCATAGCTATAGCCTCCAACTGCAGCGGAAAACCTACTCTGGTGCCATTTGACGCAAGAGAAGAGTCTCAAGGGATGATAACCTGGGAATCGCTCAACCAGGGACAACAGAACTCGCTCGACATTGCTAATCATGGATTCGCTCACACGACCAAGCCAAACGCTTGATTTTAGAAGGAGAAACAACTCACTTCAATTGCACAAAACAAATAATATTTTAATTCATTCAAGTTTGCCAAATTGTTGTATTACATCATAATATAAAGCAAAGATAAAGGAAGCGTAAATGAATTACAACTTCTTAAAAGACTCACCATATTCTAAATGGAGTTAAAAAAATTTCTAAGTAATTAAAAGTGCACTGTCATTATTATTCCAATTTCAATGCATGTGAGCAATTTCTAAGGTGTATGCTTGCTCCCGCATCACATTGGATCTTTTTTCTTGAAAGTAACTATAAACTCACGTGAATTGTGTCATTTTCCCCGTTATTAGAGCAAGTGGTCGAAGATTTTTTTTTTTTCCTACTAAGGCTCTTCAACCACTTAAGGTGCCTTATAAAGAGGGAAATGATTTCAACTTGTGTATGCATATATCATTCCTTCCATGAAGAATAACGGTTTCTCTATTATGAAATGAAGATGTGAAGAACCTATACATCAAATTTTAAAATTCAATCAATTCAACAATAAAAAAAATAAATAAATAAATAAAACCTTGAAGATGCAGAACTATCTTAAAAAACACCGCAACACTTTAGAAGTGTGGATAAAAATGTCCCAAAAAACTGTCTACTTGCGTATCATTCGATCAAGTCAAAACCAAATAAAATATGAAATGTTTCTTCGAATACTTGCTACTCCCTTGAAATCCCTCTCCTTTGGAGCACGCTCTCAAGATATATACAATAACACAAGCACATCTTTGCCCTCCTCATCATTAACTACCATAACGAGAATTTTATCATTAATCCCCAAAATGTATGCAGTTTGACGAAAGTGCAGAGCAAATTCTTGGTCGTGTCCTATGTTTTCTTTAATCTATCTTACTTATGCAAGATTTTCATTATAAACTGGGAAGCAATTGTCGACAAAAATTCTTGCTCACCCAAAAGATTCATAAAATAATAACTACAAAATGAAGCAATTTGATATGGGTCTTTGTATTTTCAGATTTGGGATGAGGCTTTTGTTGCCAAACAATCATCTAAAATAAACTAACACATCCCAACCGAAGTGTGTCTTCCCTCCTTAGTCATTTCTTTGATATTAGCCTTTGGGGCCTCGTTTGGCAGCTCGGACTGTACTGACTATTTCTGTCGGATAGGATAAATAGCCACCGGATAGTACTGACTAAATTAGTCGGGCGTTTGGTGCAGTATCGGATTAATGACCGTATTATTTATACTGTGTTTAGTTTTATACCGGATAGGCTAAATCAAACTTAAAATTAAATTAAACTTATAAAAATAAAAATAAAATCTGAAACCATCCCTTCTTCTTCCCTGTTCTCTCCGCCGAACCCCTCAAACGCCCTCCTTCTCTCTCCCTTCTTCTTCCCCGCCTGCCTGCACATTTGGTGAGCAACCATGAGTCATCAGATCCACATCAACCCAAATCAAGATGCAACAAACGAAACAAACTAACGATTTGTTGACAAGGTTACCTCCTGCACTGCAGCATCGCAAGTGGAATGGACTGGCGGCGGTTTGACAGAGAGAAGGAGAGTAGTTTGTTGGCGTTTTGAGAAGAGAGGTTTCCCAGACACCATGCCGGGCAAGAGAGTGCATGCTTCTTTGCAAGACCCAGTTGCAGGGGAGGACGACGACGTCAACGGGAGGACGACGACGACGGCGACGGGGGAGGACGACGATAGTGAGAGAAGGTGACGGGGGGGGGAGGACAACGACGCCTAGAGAGAGAGAGAGAGAGAGAGAGAGAGAGAGAGAGAGAGAGAGAGAGAGAGAGAAGGCCGAGAGAAGGCGAGAGAGAGGGCCGACTAATAATCCGGGCCTTTTGGTTGGTTTTATTAGTCCGGTGTATACCGTACTAAATAAGCACACCGGTTAATTTAATCCGGCGCTTATTTAGTACGAGTGAACGCCAAACACCCGCGTCCGTATAATTAGTCCTATCCGATCCTCTATCCGATCTGCCAAACAGGGCCTGGAGGTTTAAGATAACTAGACACACAAAGAGAGAAAGATAGGACATATAGAAAAATTAAGGCACTGAGAATGTGCGAGTCTCTCTGGGTTAGGCATATATGCTTAAAATGCCAGAAAACCAATTAACGAATCTATTTTTCGAATGACTCTATGTCTTTGTCTTGTACTTTAGAAAAATATGGTTATTAGATATAAGGGTATTTTTGTAACTTAAACTCCAGAGAAAAAAAAGGGAATAATGTCATCTTTCACATGTATAAAACTTTTGTCTCTCTTTGTAATGTTTAAAAAGTATTGTCTCAATATAAAATTAAGTAATTAAAGTGTATCTACGTGTAATTTTTCCTTTTAGTTTACAAGCGATGTTTTTCAAGGACTGAAATGTAGTTTTCTAATTATTTGATGCTAATGATTTCTACATTTCCTTCTTTTGTTATGGTCTTTTGTTAAACAAATCAACCGATAAAAACAATGAAACTGAATGTAGCAAAGGAGTATAAAAAGTATGAAAATCATTTTTTTTAAGAGAAATTAGGTTCACATCCTTTTTTTTACTACTCCATTGATTAAAATCTTATTCATTTTCAATTTTTGATCAAGGTCCTTGGTATTAATAACATCATTAATTATTTGAATAATAAAATATTTTTATTTTTAAATATATTCCTTTAGTGTTAAAAATGTTACAAATAGTATATTTATATTTATGGCTAAATTTTTATCATATATTTACCTATTTTTAATTTGTACCAATTTTTCTTTCATTTTTAATTTGTACACATATATTAGTTTCTTTTTGTACCCATCTTTTAAAAAAAAAATTATTTTTGTTTGTAACCATGTGCATACCATCACGTGACATTGTATATTTTATCAATGATAGAAAAATTACATATGGTATATTTATTATTTATGCCTAAACTTTGTATCATTTATTTATATTTTTAATTTATACCCACTTTTAATTTGCAAATTTTTTTTAAATTTGTAGTATTTTCTTTTTAGTTTTATTTTGTACCCATGTATTAATTTCTTTTAGCGCCTATATTTTTTAAAAATTCATTTGTACTCATAATTTTTTAATATTTTATTTGTACCCTAATTTATTTATAATGTACCCATTCTTCTTTATTAATGTACCGCTTTATTATATGTGAAATGTACTAATTTTTTTTGTAAAATGTACCAATTTTTTTAACACTATGGATATATTCTTTTGCCATTAATTATTTCTTATTTTTACATAGTTTTTATCCATTTATTCAATCAAAATATTTGAATTTTTTATTATAACCGTTTCTAATAGTATTATAATGAGGGATTTTAAATTTATAGGATTATAAATCTCATAAAGTATCTCAAAACTATAAAAATATAAATATTAATTGTAATATAATGAGGTGTACAAAGTTTGATCAAACTTTGAATATCATTAAGGTTTTAGTCAAAGAATGTTAAGGATTAGGGACAGCATCCAAAGTATCTCTTTTTTTTATTTAATTATAACATAAGAAGATGAAAACATATCAGTTTAACTCAATTCAATCTTAATCGTAAATTCATCTTCCCAAATCCTAATGATATTAGGATTCTTAATTCTGATAAAATTTCTGGGGTACAAGTAAGAGATGATTTTTCATAGGCACGGTGAGAGAAGCGTCAGCTGATTCTTCCATGTCCAAATCTTCCACCTTCATCCCATTAGGCAATTTCCAATCAAACCAGTAGAGAAGATTTGCAAGTCCAAACTGTAGTGTCGTTGTCGCCATGTATATCCCTGGACACATTCTTCGACCAGCTCCAAATGGCAAATATTCATAATGTTGTCCTTTAAAATCAACCGAGCTTCCATCAAACCTTTCTGGGAAAAACTCTTCTGGGTCGTTCCAAATCTTAGGGTCTCGTGCGATTGCCCCTTCATTCACAAGGATGAGTGTTTTGGGGTCCACATCATAGCCTTGGATTTTGAAGTGGGACATGGCTTCTCTTGGAAGAATCATTGGAGCTGGAGGATGCAGTCTTAGAGTTTCTTTAATTATCTTCTTTAGGTATTCAAGCTGCTCCGTATCACTTTCACTGACTAATCCTTTGTTTCCAATGCAATTTCTGACTTCTTGTTGCGCTTTCTTCATCACTCTAGGGTTCTTAACTATCTCTGCCATTGCCCACCACATTGTAATTGCACCAGTGTCTATTCCACCTAAAAATAAGTTCTGATTCACAAAAGATTTTTCAATGTGATTGGTATACGGAGTGGTACACCATGTATTACTATACAAATTGTGGAATATGTGTACTGAAAAGTTAATAATTTAAAAAAATAAAATTTTTCACCACTTCTATAAAAAACATGAAGTATCACTTGTGCTCCCATCACAATGAAATTTTTTTCCTGATTCACAAGTCTCGTAGTCAGCAACATAAAAGGGTATGCGTTTGAAAAAATTAGTAATTAAAAAATGTTGTTTAAAGTGATAAACACAACTTATTTTTATTAAATAGCATTGATATTGTCTTTTCTTTTAAAATAACTCAATATTGTCGGTGACTGATAAATAGCAGTTTTTATGAAAATTACTACAAAAAAAATTAATCATTCATTGGTCTGAATGAGTTTAATAATTACCATGAGGACAGCCTTGACGCTAGCATGACCAAGTTGTGCAACTCCAACCACGCCAGTTTGCTCCTTCAATGTTCTAAGCAACACATCAATTATGTCTTCATGTTCTTGTTTCCTCCCAGGCGTCAAATGATCATCAACGAGCTGCTGAAAAAACACATCCAACTCACTCGTAATCCGATCAAACTTCTTTTGCACACCAGTAACCCTGTCGGTAATCCACCCGATCCATGCCGGAAAGTACTCGGCTCCCGACATGCCTCCTAGCATGGTTTCGATGTCGTGAATGATCTTGTGAATAGCCTTACCGCTCTTGTAATTGCTGCTCTGCAAGCTCGTCCCAAACCCTACTCTAAACAGTATGCTTGCAACTAGGGCAAACAACATTTCGCTGACATCGACGGGAGCGACAGAGGATGAAGAGTGATCAGAGATTGATTTTACCATTTTAGCCACTTCTTCTTCACGGATTGACCGGTAAGACTGGACCCTTTTCACGCTGAAAAACTCGACCACGCATATTTTTCTAATCTCTCTCCAGTAGTCGCTGTAAGGTGAAAATGCCACGTCGAGATAGTTGTACGTGAGCCGACGGGACCCGGCGTAGGTGGGTCGGCTGCAGCAGTGGAGGTCATTGGTTTTGAAGACTTCTTTGGCGGCTTCGGCGGATGAGACTACGACGGTGGGGATGCGGCCGAGGTGGAGGAGCATGACGGGCCCGTATTTTTGGGAGAGTTGGAGGAGGGATCGGTGGGGTGCTGAGCCGAGTTGGTGTAAGTTGCCTATGAGGGGGAGCTTGGGAGGGCTTGGTGGAAGGTGCTTTTGCTTATTTTGTGGGGTTTTATTGACATGTTGCTTCTTTTTAAGCAGAAGAAGTAGAGGGATAAGTAGGAGAAGTAGAGGCCAGAAGATTTGGGGGGTCATGGTAGCCATTGTTGGAGCTTTCTATCAATGATATAATTTTTCTGAGGTCTTCGTCTATATATAAGAAGAGCTAGAGATTTCGAAAGGGGAGTCAAAATCCTAAAGGGGATGCATCATGTGTATGCCTTTCAATGCATATGAATATTTTAATCACATTATTGGCTATTATAGTAATTAATTGTAGAAAAGGAATTAGCTATCCAGGCCGCTGGAGAAAATAAAAAAAAATTATAACACTAGATATATTTCTGTTTTTTATTCTAACCCATCACAGTTGGAGAAGCATTACTGTCTACCTTTAGCCTTTAGGCCCTCTTTTCTTTTATTTTTGAGCTTTTATATTGGATCACTTCATGTTAAAATTCTGGAATTTGAAGCCTGGAATCTTGGCTAGTTTTTTTGGATAAAAAAATAATAAGTTTGTAAATTTGACAAAGCAACCAAATTCTTGCAAGCTTACCATGTTGCTGGTGCTTGTGGGTTTTAAGATGCTTCAAATTCTATAAAACTAATCTAAATTCCCATATGTTGTGTTGTACAAGAAATTTTTCATTGCAACCAGAACATGAGTGTTACACCACATGTTTTTATATAAGTAGTGAAATTTTTTATTTTTGAAGTTATTAACTTTTTAACACACATATCGCATCGTTTGTATAGTGACACGTGGTGTATCACCCCGTATTCCTGTCACACTGAAAAATCTCTCATGTTGTACAAGAAGAGGAGAAAAAGAAAAGGAAAAAGACGGGAGGAAGAGAATGCAGGAACATAGAAGAAGGGAGAGGGAGGGGGAAGATGAAAATGTAGGAAATTAATGTTAGAAAGTTAAAAAAGGAAGGTAAATGCTAGGGAGATTATGTTTTTAGACGTGACTGTTGATGATTGATTTCTTTCTTTAATGGTTTACAAAAGAAAGAGGAAATTATAGCAATGATCCCTCAACTTTAATCTAATTAGAAATGGTCCTTAAACTAAGGGAATTTTAACGAAAAGCACCTGGTACTGTTCACTTTAACAAAAAACCACATTTTTACACTAAAAAGTCAATCCTGGTACTATTCACTTTACCCTTTATTTTGTCCTTATCATTAAAACTCAAAGTTTTCAAGCCCTTTTCATTAGTTTCCTTTAAACTAAACATTCATGATCAAATTTGCAAACCAAATGGGTTATTACATAATTATTTATTGATGTGCTTATGTGCTATTGGTGACATATCACTTGATTTGTAAATTTAAGTTAAAATTTAATCTCCCTAGCATTATCCAAATTGGATTATAGAGGCAATGATTAGGAAATGACACCACCTATGTGTAACTGACTCTCCACCTCCACGTACCTTAAAGAAACGATAGACTAACCATCTCCAAATATGCCACATCCTAATAATAGAGTTCAAATATTTTCTATGTGGCCTTTATTATTGTTTGATATGTTAATAGCGCTCCCTAAATTCATTACCGCAAATGTAACATATATCAACCAACAATAAAAGCCATAGAAAAGATACATACAAAATAAGCGCAGAAGATTTGATGTCGACTTGTTCACACGACATTACCCTACTTGCGCATCTTTTCACATTTGCATAAATTCCAAACCGACCCAAGTCCAATTACGGCCCACTTTTTTGGGCTGATGGGTAAAAAACACCCAACTCAACCAGGGTTTAAATCCTACACAATTAATATTGTGTGGTCAACGTAACAGCTCCACTTACCAACCAACCGTCCAGATTAATCCTCCCAATCACATCCGACGGTTCGCGGTGGCTCACAAAGAACAGGGGTTACTGGGTTAGGCCGTTTTCTCCGTATCTCGCGATCTCTTTTGTTTAATCAGAGCGAGCTCTGTTTCAATCGATGAATTTAGGGTTAGGGTTAGGGTTTTGAATTGTATGGAAATGGATTACGTGTCGGAGTTCCCTCTTTGGCACATTGATCGGCGTCCAAGAAAGCGCCCCAGGTTTGCTTGGGATCCCCCTCAGCCTCATCCAAAGGTACAATTTTTACGCTTTATTTCATCAAATTTCTCAAAATTGTGGATTTTTTTTTTTTTTTTGTTTATTTAGGCTTTAATTTGTATACTTTTCATTAAAATTAGCTTTTCAATTTGAATTCATCCCAATTTACCTTCTTATGTGTGGTAAATTCGACTGGGTAGGATATAATGTTAAATTTTTAGGTAATCTGAAGGTAGAAATCGAAATGATTTCATTTTCCAAATTTCATGATCTACAAGTGTTCAGAAAATTTTGATCTTGTCCAAAATATTGCCTTAAACATGAAATTATATTTCTTGAGGAAATTCAGTTGTATATTAATAGTATATAAATAATTTGGAAGACTTGAATAACTGAATTGTTAGTATTTTGATGACCCCTTGGATATATCATAGGTGAGGCATATCGAAGCTGGATATGTTCAGTATTCGGGTGTTACATTTGTATGATTTATTTAATCTGCATACATTGATTTTGTATTTGGTTAATTAGAAAAGATAAGGGAAAATATGGAATGATAGATGGGTAAGGGGTGAAGTTTTTGTATTAATGTTTGTATAGTGGAGTATGAATAAATGGCTGTGTGTAGGCTCAGTCAGGAATATATTCCGAGCAAGATGTTGGAAGTGGGACAAGCTTTGGACCTATGAGAGCACTCCCAGACCGTCCTAGTCTTTTTTTAAAGGGGTTGACTCAAAAAGGATCTTCCCCGCGGCGAGATGATGACAAAGATGGACATTACATGTTTGTGCTTGGAGAAAATTTAACATCTCGCTGTAATTACGTTCATTCATCATTGAAGAGTTTTTTCTTTTACATTCTTCATGTGTCTTTCAATGCTGTATTTTAAACTCCCACAATCTAATAAATCACACCGATGTACTTCCAACTTTTTTTTTTTTTTTGTTTGCTCGATGGTGTACTTCCAATGAATTTTTATATAAAGAAAATCTCCTTACAAGTAAAAACTTCTAGGACCTTATCTTTGGACTTTAGGGTTGCTCGAGAATTTAAAATATATATCTAGAGTGTTGAAAGTTTTATTTTTAGTTCATTTTTTTCGTTACAGTGTGCCTTCAAAATAATTTAGTCTGAGTAGTTCAGAATATTTATTTTCATTTAACACACACGCACATAGTTCTTTCTTGATATTTTAGGTTTGTAAAATATTTGTAGTTTTCTGCTCAAACTATTGTTTCTGTACTTGCAGATAAGATCCACAGAAAAATTGGTGAAGGTTAGGTTTTCACGGGATTTAGACCTATGTCTACATGGATTCCTGTACCTTTGATCTGTTTTCTCATATTTCTGCTCTTTGCATTGTGTAGGAACTTTTGGTCAGGTTTTGGAATGTTGGGATAGGGAAGCAAAAGAAATGGTAGCTATAAAAGTTGTCAGGAGTATCAAGAAATACCGTGAAGCAGCAATGATTGAAGTTGATGTGCTACAGTTGCTTGGGAAGTATGACAGAAATGGAAGTCGGTGAGTATACTTTTCCTGTCATGGTCATTTCTTTTGCTTCTTAGCAGTTGTAAAATGAAATTTGGGTCATTGTTAAGTGGCTTTATTCTTTGCAGTTGTGTTCAAATACGGAACTGGTTTGACTATCGTAACCATATATGTATAGTAAGTATAAGCTTGATTTTTGATAAAAATGATTCCCCAACTTCACATTTTGGGGGTTAAGACATTTTTGAATTTAAATGGTCTTAACAGGTATTTGAGATGCTTGGACCAAGCTTATACGATTTCCTCAGGAAAAATAATTATCGCGCATTTCCGGTTGATCTTGTCCGCGAACTTGGCAGGCAACTGTTGGAATGTGTAGCATGTGTGTAGTTGGACTTCTGTTGTTTCTCTTACCTCATTCAAAGTTTATAGCGGCAGTTGTACTATTCCATAAGTTTTTACCTTTCCTTCTTAAAAATTTACTGGTAGTTTCTGCTTTTTTTCTTTTTGGTAAAGCTTATTCCCATGACATGTGTGAATATATTCTGAGCATCTTTTCTTGGGTTGGACAATGACTTTAAAGTGAACACTAGTAGTTCTTATGTTTTCTGTGGCATGTAACTTTTGCAGTCATGCATGATATGCGTCTCATACATACCGACCTGAAGCCTGAGAACATACTTTTTGTTTCTTCAGAATACATTAAAGTACCTGACTACAAGGTATTTCTTCCTGTGATTATAGTTATATTGTTCTGTTTGCCCTTTCAAATGAGACAGTTCACTTATTCTCTTTGCCTCTTACCTGCATCCAGTTCACTTATTGAAAATTGTCATTTTTTTTTATTTCTTTGCCGTCACAGTTTACATCCCGGCCGCCAAAAGATGGAACTGGTTATAAAAGGTTGCCAAAGTCTAGCGCTATCAAGGTTATTGATTTTGGTAGCACAGCCTATGAGCATCAAGAGCACAACTACATTGTGTCGACAAGGCACTACCGGGCACCTGAGGTTATTCTGGGTATGCTAATACTATGCTCTCTTTTCTCTTGCAAATCACTTGCATTTTGAATATTTGGTATCAATTTATATTTTAACATTCATAAGATTGTTAATATTTATAGGACTTGGATGGAGTTATCCATGTGACATATGGAGTGTTGGTTGCATCTTGATAGAGTTGTGTTCGGTATGTCTCTGAATTATACGGGTCCATCAGTCTCTGCCAGATTTCTGGATTTGGACTAACTGTATAGATTCTTACAAAAAAATAAAATAAAATTCTTTACAGGGAGAGGCTTTGTTTCAGACACACGAGAACTTGGAACACCTAGCTATGATGGAGAGGGTTTTAGGTCCAATGCCACAGCACATGTTGAAAAGAGCAGAGTATGTGCTTTCCTTAGGAATTTCATCGTATTTTAAGGTTCAGATCACATTTGTTTGCCTGTATTCATCACTGTCTCCTTTGCCACTTCTGTATTCTTGGTTCAGCCGTCATGCTGAGAAGTATGTCAGACGGGGTAGATTGGATTGGCCAGAAGGTGCAACTTCTCGAGAAAGTATTAAAGC